GATAATGTAAGGAAAGCCTCCCTAACCTTAAAAGTTAACTTTTATTTGAACATGAATTTGAATTTTTAAGAGAACTAGGATAGTTGATCTACATTCAACGGGATTGTGGTTTCAGTACGTGCGTAAGATCAATTCTCTTGGCATAACAAGTTTTTGTCAAAGTTATGAAGCAGCTTACATTTCATAGTACTTTTGCTTTTTAATGTGTTCCGAGGGAACTTTAGCGCTGTGGTTCGCTTCTCGGAACAAAATTTTGAGATATGGCCTTCGTTTAGGAAGTTGCGAATGATGTTGGTCGGGTTGAGGGCGATGACGAGGATGATGTTGAGAATCTGAAAGAAGATATTTACGGTCGAGTTGTTGACCAAAAAACGGGAGCAGTTTTGCCTTCAAAGCTGGGCGCAAAGGAGAAGCTTGATGAATTGGAACGACGAACTGGCGTACTCGAAACAGAAGATCGGTTGAAACTAACAAAATGCTTGAGAGGCCTTGTGAATCGTCTCAATGAGCATACGCTTGTTGGAGCTGTAAAGAGCTTTTCGGATATATTTGCCAGCAATGGGCATAATGGTAGAGTTTTGCATTTTACGGTTGTTTTTGAATTTAGTAATTATTACTTGGGTGCAGGAGTTCTCCAGGAAAAAGTTATACTTCGGTCTCGAAACTGTTAGAGAAGTAACTCTTTTACTGATAATATTAGATATCCTGATAGTATTCCAATATTAGTTCAGACTTCGTTGTTATTAATGTAGTAATTATCCTCCTTGTCAGTTTATCCGATAATTAATAATTCAGTTCTGTCCTTGATTGTATGTATAGCCCCTTCCTGCACCCGAAAAGTAATCAGGATATTTACTTGAATAGTTGAGCAGCTGAATTTCATCGACGTTCGTTGTCACACCATTGATGCAACTGGCAACTTCTCCATTCAACTCGTTGTTGCGCTCTCCGAGTCCACGTAGTACCTTACAGACGTACCGGATAAACTAAGAAATGTTCTCTCCACCTCACTGGTGGCCTCCCCAGTGTTCGCTTGATTGTGCGTGGGTACTAATCTTCTGGCAATCCTGACGCTCTTCGTCCTCCAAGGGATTGCTGGCTCAGTGGCTCACCCATCAGTAGCACTCTGACAGGGATTTAGCGGCTTGGAGCTTCATCGATGTGTGTGTGTGTTGAGCATCATCACCTCGCCTTCGGGCTTTGCCACTCTCAGACCACGGTGAGGTACCTTGCGGCCTGGGAGATTGATCACGATAGTTATTGGTTAATAGTAGTTGCCAGAAAAAGATTTCTTTTAATGAAAATTCTGGAGAAAATGAACCAGAAATAGTAGCAGAACGTGATTTTATTGTTTCAGAAGTGAAGCAAATACTGTTCTGTGAAATTTCAAATAGCGTCGCAATGGATTATCGGTTGCCAGACAGGCTTATCATCGAATATGCTGTTTTTATTGCTCTCATTCATACCACGGTCTCGTCTGAAGTCTGTAAGTTGCTTTTTTTTTGTTATTTTTAAAAATAGCCCATCAGTACTACGCTGCTTCTTTTTTTTAAACAAATAGATGATTACTATTTTTTACTGGTTTTGTTACTGTTTTTTTTTCTGATTGCAGCATCATATATTATTGAGAATTTTATTACGAAACTTTTGGGAACGATTGCAAATCCACCAGAAGGCAAATCACTGGAAAATTTATGCATTTTTCTTGCCGAACTTTATAATTTCAAGGTTCATTTTGGGTATTTTATTGTCTATGCCGTTCATTAATTTTTCGGGTTTTCACGCAGATTTTCTAATAAATTTTGTGCCTGGCTTGCAAATCCATTTAGTGATGCCAAAGCGCTAAAGCAGCGGTTCAGATGATATTCCTGATTTTGACAATTTCCTGTGTTGACTGTTTGACAAGTTTGTTGAACTTGTACACGCATCTTGCTCGGACCGGCGGCAAAATCCTCCACTGGCTTATGAAATAATGAAGGAGGATAATAAAGGGAAGAAGAGTGAGGAGGTGGAGAAAAGTGTGGGAAAAAGGAAAAGAAGGGAAGGAGGACAGTATAGGAACTCCTGTAAAATATTTTAGAAACAAGCTCAATGTTCGAATGCAGTCATTGTTTGTATTGTGCGAATTTTGCAGGTTATCAAAGTGACCATTGTTACAGAAGTTATTCAGCGTCTCAGAGAAGAAGTTAGTGACAAATGCATGACCTGTCTCACGGTTATTCTCAGCTGTAAGTTTTTGACAGTTTCTTACGCCTTGTAAAAGATTAAATATTGCTTTTTTATTTCTTTTTAAAATTTAAAGCTTATCCCAGTTTTACTAGCATGCTTCATACAACTAATTTAAATTTAATTTATACCAGTTACAATCACCTCAATCGTCGTACTGGCAAGGTCCAGTGGTAATGATAAGAAATGTATGCGACTTAATGGACCGAAACGTTTCTTACCATCGCAATAATTTTATTAAAATAATTTTTTTGAAATAATTTTACTAATTTCTTGATTTTTATTTCGAAATTTTCCTCTTTGTTTCTCCTTATTTCAGAACTGTTCTATTACATTTTTTTTTATTTCTTTTTACCTCTGCGTGCTTCAAGTTTCTGTTGCACAGTCGCTAAATTGGTAAAGGATTTTCTTGAAATTATCATGAAGCATTTTATTGGAGTGCCAAAATTGCGCGAATACTTGAACTACCGATTTTTGATCTTCGTATTGTTAATTTTTTTTAACGCTTTGATCTGCTCTTGTCTCGTTCCTGGTGCGCCTCTGCGTAGCAGCGCAGCAATTGATATGACCGACCTAGTACTCAGATAATCATCAGTGTTATAACACATATTTGTTTCTCAGTTTTTTCAAATATTTTTATGCATACCTATCTTCATCAGCCTTACATGTTTTCCTTCAACTCGTCTTCTCATCTGTTGAAAATTCCATTCCAAAATTGTTGAAATTATTTTCTAAGAAATATCACAATTATTGCATCGACGAGGTCCAATTGTGGTACTGAAAACAAATGTATGCTATTATTACTTTTGGACTGAAAATGTTCTGCTTCAGTTAAATTATAAATTTATTTTTTCTTTTGCCTAAATTACCGGATTGGTTTTATTCTTCTGTCCTTCGATTTCCCTAATTTTTCCTAAATTTCCAATTCCGGTTCCAGTTCTAAGAAGTTTATCCCCAGTTTTATCCTTAATACATAAAAGCAGCGTGAGCTGTGTGTATTTTTTACTGGTTCCATTGAGCTGTGGTGAGCTTGGATCGTGTAGAAATTTGACCGGCATTTAAGACAGTTCTTTAGATTTTCATACTTCATTTTAAAGCTCGAGATACTCGTTGATGAAGCAGATTATTGGTTAGCTTTCTTACAAAAATAAAAAAAGAAAAAAAAAAACTGAGATCTGCAATGAATAATGTTTCTTCTGGGCAATATCATTTTTCCTTTTCATTAGACAAATTTAGCTGCATTCGAACTAATTCACCGTTTTTCCTAGACTGCGGTAACACGTTGAGGAAGCGCAACTTGGATGCTTTGCAGAAGTGTCTCACGGAGACGCAGTCGTTTTTGTCCGGACTTTCGGAGACATCTTTGAAAGAGTAAGTGAGCTGCATGAACACGTATTTGCCGATTTTTCAAGGATTTTGTTCTGTTTATGCTTCGTCTCATGCTGGTGCTGACGTCGTGCTGCACTTTTGCGCACGGTTAATAACTTTTCCGTGATTAATACTTCGTCATAACCTAGAAGTGGTGGCGTTCAGAGTGAGATGGTGCTGTGTAAAAAACACAAGGAATGTTTGGAACAGCTCGGGCTTTGCCAAGTACTTTTGTCCGGAAACCCGTCGAACTAGTAATTGTTTCAGGAAGCGAGACGAATGCCTGGATCATTAGCAATCTTAACATTCGGCGGTTTTGCAGCACTGATCATAGTTAGTGGAAAATTTGCCCTCTGTTTAAATGAGGAATCAGATTATGAATTAACAACGGTTCTAGGTACTCCAAGTACTGTGTTTAGAGCTGAACAATCTGGTGATCAAAGGATCTTGGGTGACTTTACGCTTAAATAAGCGATACATCAGATGCGCACGAAAATTGTGCTTTTTCAGAAGGGTTACACCGTGTTTTATTAATAACCGCGACTGTTGTGGTTTGTTTTGTAGGCAACAGCTACGATATGTTGTAGAAGAGATTAACGATATTAAAAACGCAAATATTCGACAATTCACTGATAAAGTGGATTCTACTTTATACGATCATTACGTTAGCATTTATCGTGGATTAACAAGAAGTACGTTATACTTTGAATACTTTGAAATAGAAAATTATGATAGGAAAGAAGCGAAAAAAGAGAGGAAAAAAGGAAAAGGAAGACGAGAAAATGAAAATTGAAAAATTCATGAGTTTATTGTAATAGTAAGAAGTTTTTCGGTCCATGAAGTTGTATACATTTCTTACCTTTACCACAACTGGACCTCGTCAGTACGATGACTGTGGTAATTGAAATTAGTGAAAATTAGGGTTAAATTGTGTAATACATGTTAGTTATGAACAGAGGGTTATGAAAGATAATTAGTAATACAAGTATTAAATTTTTTAATTGGTTAATCTGGTGAAAAAAGGTAATTCAGGAACTGGTAACCTTTCCAGCTGTTTTGCTATCTGCTGCGTCGTCTGATAGAGAGCCTTCTGTTGTTCGTGACTTTGTTTCACCTCCTGAAGGGATTATCAGCTCAGCAGTGTTTTATCCGAAGGGATTATCAGTGCTTTAAAGAGTTTGATAAATTGAATTAAACTGGATATTGCAGAAATGGACCGAGAGAAGGAGCTACCAATGAGTGTTGACGATATCGTGCACATCTCGGAAAGAGGACGCTGGTGGCTTGTTGGCTCGGCTTGGTTGCCATCTGCAACTGGGAACTCTCAGGATCAATTAGTGACAGATAAAGCAGCTGAAAAGGATGCATTTTTCAGCCCATCTTTGTTGCAGCTTGCTAAAAACGCCAAAATGAATACGACTATTCGACGTAACATTTTCTGCACAATCATGTCGTCTACGGTAAATTTCCTGTCTACGGTGCAGTGTTTTTTTTTTTTTTTTTTTGTGTGTGCAGCATCACATTGTTTTAAAAATTGTTTTTTTGTAGTCCTTAGGTGATCCCCTATGCTTGCAAAGGCCACAAGAGATATTTTTTTAATATTTTGAAGAGAATTTTTGTTCTTCCTGGCCAGTGGTGTAGCCGATGGGGTTGGTCATTCTGCTTGATTCTGAGCCTTTCGTATAACGATTCAAAGGGACTGTTTTATCTGACTTGTTGCCTTTTTCATTATTTTTTTTTATTTTACTTAGATACAGTGTATCATCCCGCTTTTTCTACTCATATTTGCTAAAGTTAAAAATTCGTGCAAATTTTAATTGGTCATACTGTTGCGCAGTTATGAGCTTTCTGTAACGATGCGTTCAAGCGAATCCTACGGTTTTGTTAATGGCCTTCCCAGTGTTCTTTTAACATTGCATGGTACCGCGGGACATTCCATCTTTGCCTCTCGGATTTTTAAATTCTGGGCATCATTATTTCTCATATGTTTATGGATTTTTTCTTTGAAGGTGATGGAATTATTGCAGTTGGATTTTCAGGATGAAGCGGATGCATTCGAGAAGCTATTACGATTGTCGCTGAAGGGTCAACAAGAACGGGAAATTGTGCACATTTGCGTACACTGTGCACTGCGAGAAGCCTCTTACAATCCTTTCTATGCAGCAGTCATCGACCATCTTTGCTGTTATCATAAACGTTTTAAAGTTAGTTGATTAGATTCAAAATGTTGAGGACTGGAG